CATTTCCCGATTTTTCCCGGACATGGCGAGTTTTTTGTGACACCCCAAGGCGTTCTCCTACCACCTCACAAAATATCAAGGGGGGTCGTCGGAGGAAATTTTTTTTCGTAATAGAGCTCATATAAAGAGAATTTCACTCGCGGTCACTTTTTAGCCCTCTTCGAGGGCTTTGAGTAAGACCGACAGGTCTGCCCTACGGTCAAGCCATTTACCTATAAACATGCCAAAAATTAGCCAGATGTAAACAGGGTAAGTGCCCTAAAATCCGTTTTGAAATGACCCTCTGTTTTTCCCATAAAATACAAAGATTATATAGGGAAATACGACTGGTCAGTTTTGACCCATTTCCCGATTTTTCCCGGACATGGCGAGTTTTTTGTGACACCCCAAGGCGTTCTCCTACCACCTCACAAAATTTCAAGGGGGGTCGTCGGAGGAAATTTTTTTTCGTAATATAGCCCATATAAGGCGCCGGTCAGTCGAGGTCAGTTTTGACCCCTTCTCCGTAGACTTTTCGGCCAACCGTCACCGGCCTTCGTGTTCTATTGCCCGAAGGCACCATCGTGCCAAATTTGACGCGCCTGCGGCGCCGGGAAGTGCCCTATCGGGCACCCGACCACTTTGCTTTATATATATAGATATTCGAGAAAGTTTAGGGGAGATCACTCTCCCGGTTTATTAAGTTTGTTTCTCATACTACCCTACCCTCCCATCAGGGAGGTGTAAAACTTCCTGATTTCTGAAAATCTCGATTTCTATTGTTTGCACGATTACAATACTTCTTCTATACTTCGTATACGAGAAAGTAAAAATTCTATAAATCGAATATTTTATTAGCAAAGGTTTCCAACGCCAGATGATGTGACCGAATGTGCAGGGTAAATTACAAAGTGGCTTCATTAGGTCTGGTCTGCCCTTATTTGATAAGAGTGCCACCCCGTTGGGGGGTGCTGAAAAAATATTTATCTTAATAAATGCACGGAAAACTGTTGTTGTTTTTTTCAGTTAAATATTGTGACTTTTAGTTCTTAGGTATCACCAAATCGTGCCGTGTACCCCAGCATGCGGTATAACATATCGTATCACCAAATCGTGTCGTGTACCCCAGCATGCGGTATAACCCATCGTATCACCCAATCGTGCCGTGTACCCCAGCATGCGGTATAACATACCGTATCACCCAATCGTGCCGTGTACCCCAGCATGAGGTATAACATATCGTATCACCCAATCGTGCCGTGTACCACAGCATGCGGTATAACCCATCGTATCACCCAATCGTGCCGTGTACCCCAGCATGCGGTATAACATATCGTATCACCAAATCGTGCCGTGTACCCCAGCATGCGGTATAACCCATCGTATCACCCAATCGTGCCGTGTACCCCAGCATGCGGTATACCCCATCGTATCACCAAATCGTGCCGTGTACCCCAGCATGCGGTATAACATATCGTATCACCAAATCGTGCCGTGTACCCCAGCATGCGGTATAACCCATCGTATCACCCAATCGTGCCGTGTACCCCAGCATGCGGTATAACCCATCGTATCACCAAATCGTGCCGTGTACCCCAGCATGCGGTATAACATATCGTATCACCCAATCGTGCCGTGTACCACAGCATGCGGTATAACCCATCGTATCACCCAATCGTGCCGTGTACCCCAGCATGCGGTATAACCCATCGTATCAACAAATCGTGCCGTGTATCCCAGCATGCGGTATACCCCATCGTATCACCAAATCGTGCCGTGTACCCCAGCATGCGGTATAACCCATCGTATCACCAAATCGTGCCGTGTACCCCAGCATGCGGTATAACATATCGTATAACCAAATCGTGCCGTGTACCCCAGCATGCGGTATAACCCATCGTATCACCAAATCGTGCCGTGTACCCCAGCATGCGGTATAACCCATCGTATCACCAAATCGTGCCGTGTACCCCAGCATGCGGTATAACCCATCGTATCACCCAATCGTGCCGTGTACCCCAGCATGCGGTATAACCCATCGTATCACCCAATCGTGCCGTGTACCCCAGCATGCGGTATACCCCATCGTATCACCCAATCGTGCCGTGTACCCCAGCATGCGGTATAATCCATCGTATCACCCAATCGTGCCGTGTACCCCAGCATGCGGTATAACCCATCGTATCACACAATCGTGCCGTGTACCACAGCATGCGGTATAACCCATCGTATCACCCAATCGTGCCGTGTACCCCAGCATGCGGTATAACCCATCGTATCACCCAATCGTGCCGTGTACCCCAGCATGCGGTATAACATATCGTATCACCCAATCGTGCCGTGTACCACAGCATGCGGTATAACCCATCGTATCACCCAATCGTGCCGTGTACCCCAGCATGCGGTATAACATATCGTATCACCCAATCGTGCCGTGTACCACAGCATGCGGTATAACCCATCGTATCACCCAATCGTGCCGTGTACCCCAGCATGCGGTATAACCCATCGTATCACCCAATCGTGCCGTGTATCCCAGCATGCGGTATAACCCATCGTATCACCCAATCGTGCCGTGTACCCCAGCATGCGGTATACCCCATCGTATCACCAAATCGTGCCGTGTACCCCAGCATGCGGTATAATCCATCGTATCACCCAATCGTGCCGTGTACCCCAGCATGCGGTATACCCCATCGTATCACCAAATCGTGCCGTGTACCCCAGCATGCGGTATAATCCATCGTATCACCCAATCGTGCCGTGTACCCCAGCATGCGGTATACCCCATCGTATCACCCAATCGTGCCGTGTATCCCAGCATGCGGTATAACCCATCGTATCACCCAATCGTGCCGTGTACCCCAGCATGCGGTATAACCCATCGTATCACCAAATCGTGCCGTGTACCCCAGCATGCGGTATAACCCATCGTATCACCCAATCGTGCCGTGTACCCCAGCATGCGGTATACCCCATCGTATCAACAAATCGTGCCGTGTACCCCAGCATGCGGTATAACCCATCGTATCACCCAATCGTGCCGTGTACCCCAGCATGCGGTATACCCCATCGTATCACCAAATCGTGCCGTGTACCCCAGCATGCGGTATAATCCATCGTATCACCCAATCGTGCCGTGTACCCCAGCATGCGGTATACCCCATCGTATCACCCAATCGTGCCGTGTACCCCAGCATGCGGTATAATCCATCGTATCACCAAATCGTGCCGTGTACCCCAGCATGCGGTATAATCCATCGTATCACCAAATCGTGCCGTGTACCCCAGCATGCGGTATAACCCATCGTATCACCCAATCGTGCCGTGTACCCCAGCATGCGGTATAATCCATCGTATCACCAAATCGTGCCGTGTACCCCAGCATGCGGTATAACCCATCGTATCACCAAATCGTGAGCTATCACCCCATCATGTCTTAGCACCTGGGGTCCGCTTTTTGGCTGTCCTGCACAGGGGGATAGGTGTACTACATGAATCATCAGTCTCAATGCATTAAGGACCTCCGCCGGGGGCCGTCCAAAGAGACTCGCGACACCTGAGGGGTGTTTCTTTTACCGTCAGCGTACACTGGGGCTTGTCTGTGGTAGTGTTGACAAACTAGCGCACCAACAACTAAGATGGCTTGAATCGGTGGTAGTGTGGAGTAACTAGCGCCCCAACAATTAAGCTGAGAAGTCTTAGTGGTAGTGTGGAAAAACTGGCGCCCCAACAATTAAGCTGGCAGTCTCAGTGGTAGTGTGGAAAAACTGGCGCCCCAACAATTAAGCTGAGAAGTCTTAGTGGTAGTGTGGAAAAACTAGCGCCCCAACAATTAAGCTGGGAAGTCTCAGTGGTAGTGTGGAAAAACTAGCGCCCCAACAATTAAGCTGGGAAGTCTCAGTGGTAGTGTGGAAAAACTAGCGCCCCAACAATTAAGCTGGGAAGTCTCAGTGGTAGTGTGGAAAAACTAGCGCCCCAACAATTAAGCTGAGAAGTCTCAGTGGTAGTGTGGAAAAACTAGCGCCCCAACAATTAAGCTGGGAAGTCTCAGTGGTAGTGTGGAAAAACTAGCGCCCCAACAATTAAGCTGGGAAGTCTCAGTGGTAGTGTGGAAAAACTAGCGCCCCAACAATTAAACTGGGAAATCTCAGTGGTAGTGTGGAAAAACTAGCGCCCTAACAATTAAGCTGAGAAGTCTCAGTGGTAGTGTGGAAAAACTAGAGCCCCAACAATTAAGCTGGGAAGTCTTATTGGTAGTGTGGAAAAACTAGCGCCCCAACAATTAAGCTGGGAAGTCTATGTGGTAGTGTGGACAAACTAGCGCCCCAACAACTAACATCCAAGAAATAAAGTGCAGACAGTGTTTACATTCGATTACCACTGTTCTATAAAACAAGGCATACGTCTCAAATACACGATTGACAGTGTGATATATATATATATATATATATATATATATATATATATATATATATATATATATATATATATATATATATATATATATATAGGGGGGACAAAAAAAATGCGGGCGGCCCTTTTTTCAGGTTCCGCCACTAATTTGAACTGAACATACAGTAGATACGTGTTTCGTTTGATATTTTCAAAGCAAAATAAAAACTATTAAAATAATTAATTTATTTGTATTAGAAATGTTAATCTGCCTTATATTCCTAAAAACGAAAAAAAAACGTGTATAAAATTAGACATCGGTTATAATAATAAAGTTTTCGAAAATAAAAAATTTAAAAGTTATATATTGGATAACCAAATAGAAATGTGTTGCCTTTAAATACAATTCTATTGGAATATTATAATTTACATACATTCAAGAAAAAAAAGGTTTGGTTATTATTAGTAGTAAAAACAGCCATAACATTCACATAGACTAAAAATTACGATTATTAAAATCTAATGAAAATATTTTGTCTTTAAAATGTGGGTTCTTTTTTTTCTGTATCCAATATATCTGTTTTTATGTATTCTAAAAAAATAATGTCAACATATAAGTGGAATACATATATCTTAAATTACTGGATAAATCTCACACATGAAGTTTTAATATTTAATAGAATGTTAGTTGCTTCAACGAATATATATTTTTATATGAATAAATAAAACGAAATTCAGAAACACCTATTTGTAATTTATTGTAGCATTTTAGTTTTAGGAAGAGATATAGCTTTCTTTGTATGTTCAATAATTTTCATAAAACATTTGTTTTAAGTCACTGAATATAATAGACACATAGATTCATCATATACTACATGCGAGTTGTTTTAATGAATATATGTTTTTAATATGAATGGATAAAATGAAATCAAGTAGCACCTTCTATTTCTTTTGATATGGCACCAATTCAGATTTAGGAAGGATTATAGGTACAAAATTTGAGCACGTGCTATCATGGCCCCAGTAGCGTATGATGTTAAAATAACCTTTGACTTGATACAGTAGTTTTTGTTCGTCGGATTCAGTGTTTGTGTTCTGTCCAAAAATTAACAGCTTTTGTCTATAAGTAAGAGCTCCGTGTAGCTTCCTATGTATTGTCCACAATTTGATCACATATTTGAAAGAAACTGTGCTTCCTGATAAACAAATAGACCACAAATTTCCATTGGTTTGTAAAACGTAAGTATTGTTGTCATCACTGAAACTTATTATCTGTTCTGCTGGTCCATTCAACTGTTCTAATTCTGTTAATTCCTCGGTTAGAATGTCCAGCTGATGAACGCGTGTTTTCTCTTCTCCATTGACGGTTACTGAACAAAAAATCAGAATTTTTCTCTGATAAATTAAAGCATGTTTCACAATTAAACTTTCAGGTAATTCGGTAAAATCTTCAACTTCTGTGTTAAACTTTTTCCTGGTTATTGTATATATTGTATTATTCGCTTTGTTCAAAGCAAATATAAACTCCTCGTAGGGAATTAAAATTAACTGACAACCTTCTATTTCAGTTATGTTGTTCCAACAACCGTCGCTTAAAGCAAAGAGAGTGCTGTTTTCCTTGAATTCGTCTTCGGCTCCAACCATGTATAAATCTGAGTCGAACACAACAAATGCTGCATTCACAATATTATTCGATGCACACTTGTAAAGTTCTTCACTAGCTGCAGTTACGATGTAAATTGTGCTATTATCAATACACACAATACCACAGTGTTCAAATTCACTACAGGCACGATGTATAGCTGCTGTTGGCCACTGTCCTTGTTTATGTGTTGTGGTATGCAAAACAGCTTTTCCTAATATATCTTTTGCCTCGGTATTATCGAGTATTAGCCGATGTTTTAAAAAATGCATCAAGAGTGGGCTGGTTACAAGACACGTCCTCACAGACTTCAACAGAGTTGTCAATAGTTCGATTCTTTTATTTTCATTTGCCTTTACTCTAGTGCCGGCTGAAGCGTGCATACCATCGAGACCAATTCCATTTGCAGAATTATGTTGCAAGTTATTCATACCAGAATAAGCTTCATCGTTTATTTCAGTATAGCAGTTTTCAGGAAAATACTCAACCCACTTCATCACCGTCGACAGAACTATGTCCTCGGAACTCACCTTTAGATCATGGGAGCCAATTAACTCATTGAAGTCATTGAATTCAAGGTCCATTAAAACATCTGTTCCACTAACTTCATCGAATTTTTCCAGCAGAAATGTTTTCCGAATATCTAAAACTTTTTTGGAGTTTAAACTTTTGGCCGTTTTAAAAATGACCTCAAAGTTTTCAAGCGCGATAACTTCGCAAGCAAAATCCTCGCAGTTCTGCACAATAAAATCTACCTGTAGTTGATCCGCTGCTTGCCATACTTCTATAAAATTGTCCGACCTTAAATCAACCTCTCCAGTGTACAAAGACTTTAAAATAAATTGAAACGTTGGAGCTGACATCCCACTTAGAGTTACACAACCCTCTTTCTCTTCCTTCATATTTGATCTAAAAAGTGCTCTGAAGAAATGTGAGGACGCTGCCAGAATAACACGGTGACATCGAAAGTTTTCATCTTCCACCTTTACAATATAATCTAACAATTCATTTTCTTCAAGGAGGTTGTCTGTGTTTTCTACAATAGTTTGTGAGTTTTTGAATTTTTTGCTCATCGTTATCTTTTACAATAGAGATCTACGCCTATGGAAAATATAAGGATTATATTAATCACAGTAATCAAAACAATAATACCAAACTGTTTAAATGATTATTTTATTTAAGCAGGGGTCTCCAAACTTTTCAGTCCGAGGGCCGCTTTAACTATCAAATTTCAGTTCGGGGACCAGTTTCTTCCAGGCATGTCTTTGATTTTTCTAGGCAAAGTTCCTCAGCCAACAAAAAAATCTAAGCGGGCCGGATGAGAGGACCTCGCGGGCCGCATTCGGCCCGCGGGCCGTAGTTTGGAGACCCCTGTATTAAAGGATATTAAAAGAAAACGTACTAGTTATTGGTTGTAGCATGATATTGTCTTTAAATGATTTTTTTTATACAAGGAGTATTTAAAAACTCGTACTACTTATTGGTTTAAGCAGGATATTTTTTTTTTACTGGCATGGGAACATCATTTAAATTATAGTAACCAGTAACCAGTGGCGTAGCGAGGTCGGGTGTCACCCGGTGCGGCACTTAATGGTGTCACCCCCCAGAGGCGTAGCGACCCTTCCCGGGGACAAACTTTCAAATTTTCGATTTGCACCCCCCCCCCCCCTCAAACTTTCGATTTGCACCCCCCCCCCCTCAAGTTTTCGATTTGCACCCCCCCTCAAACTTTCGATTTCCACCCCTCCCCCTCAAGTTTTTTTCTATATATTTTGCTATTTTTGCCTTGGTGTCACCCCCCTAAATGGTGACACCTGGTGCGGTCCGCCCCTGCCAGTAACTTTTAAAGATTTTTACAATTCTCTTACATAAGGCCCTGATCCACTAGAACCAAATTCTATTCCAACATTATAGTATACGTTTTATCTTTCTTAACAAGCAACAGTTTTTGTTTAATTGATTCATGGCAAATTTTAAAGTTTTCCTATTCTATTTCAAACATTTAAAATAGATTAGGGTTAGTATTGGAGTTTGTTCCAGCACCAAGTTCAGGGCTAGTCTTATGGGAGCTGTTATTTTGAGGTAGAAATAAGCAGAGGCGTAGCGAGGGGTGGGGAGGGTGTGCGGACCGCAATGGGTGACACCATATAGGGGGGGGGGGGGGTGACACCAAGGCAAAAATTAGCAAAATATATAGAGAAAAACTTGAGGGGGGTGAAAATCGAAAATTTGAAAGTTTGTTCCGGGAAGGGTTGCTACGCCTCTGGGGGTGACACCATTAAGTGCCGCACCTGGTGACACCCGACCTCGCTACGCCACTGGAAATAAGATCTGTAAAATCAATAGCTGTTAGGCCAAAGCCCAGCATAGTTAATGGTGTCTACTGGTCTACACTCTCGACACGGACTTGAAAATATTTGTATATATAAAAATAAGTACTTAACATGATTGTTTTTTTCTTTGGTTTTCTTTTTTACTATTTCGATGATTAAATTATAAATTATAATTTAAAAACCTTAAACACAAAATACGAACCTAAATAAAAGATTTTTTTTATCTTAGCCACATAATAACAAATAAAAACAATTGAACTAACCAATCGTGAACCAAGATTTGTTTGGATTCTTAAAACAAATTTACTACAAAAACCAAAAATGCCACACATTAAAACATTATTTGTAATGTCATGTGTTAAATCCTAATCTTTACAAAATAGAGCTGGATAAATTGATAATAATAAATATTTAATTATCAATCATCTATGCTGTAAGATGCTATCGTTTGCAACCTATAATGTTCTCTAAGTTTACCTTAATATTATATTCAATGCAGGTAAAAATGTAAATAGAATTCTAATGTTGATGTTTTCATGAAGTTTATCTGTACAATCTAGACTCGACAATTGATGGTAAAATAAGTTTCAATTTTGTTTGAATGTAAACAATGTAAATTGCTGCAACAGCGTCGGTGCGATCAGAAAAATGCGGTTCAATGTTGAAATATTACTTTTGTGGTGTGCAAAAAGTAATATTACACAAATTAATATCTGGAGATAGCGGGGTCGGGTAGGAGAGTGTATGATTGTTAACTCCAAAAGATGTGGGTTCGGATCCCCAGTAGATCACGCTCGTTAGCGGGGGGGGGGGGGGACGAGGACGACAACAGAAGCCCTTCTAGGGGAGATAACTAAAATGTTAAGCAACTACTGTATTTTTCTTAAGAGAGGAAAAACGATGGAATAAAGTATAGGAAAAAATTAAGTCAGAGTCAACGAGCGATTTTACCTCATGGAGTAAAAGAGTAGTGTTAATTCGAAATAAGGAGTATTCCATTCATCATGTGAACATTTATATTAAAGGAGATAACACAGAGCATGCTATACAACAACTCCGTATGTTATGTTATGAAACAACTTCATTGGCCAACATACAATATATAACAATCTAGAAAAGAAATACCGCCCCCCCCCCCCCCTCACACGATTTCGGAACAGAAAATTGAATTGCAAAATCGGTTGTTTTATAGTTTGAATTTAATTAAGAACATATAATTGAGCGTTAGACTGCTAACCCAAATATCTCGAGTTCGGGTCCCTGACTAAAGTCTTAACACATCCCTGAGTCTAACACATCCCTGAGTTCACCCAACTCTGATGGGTACCCAAACTTACGTTGGGGAAAGTAAAGGCGACTGAGCATAGTACTGACCACACTATCACTTCATATGTTATGGTTACATAAACAGGTGAACGCTACTTCACCAGCCTTCAAGTTCAAGAGGGTACTTTTCTTCTCACTAATTTTTTTTAAATAGTAGGATAGTAATTATCTTTTTATTTAGGCCTATTTCATGCAAATACTGTGGTTAAAACGCTAGAAAATCTTGACCTCTGATCCCGTGCTTGGGTCTGTAAGATATCCACTCAGCTCACATGAGAACTAACTAACCTTAGGGAAACAAAGGCGTCGAGGCATAGTTCCGACCACATTATCCCCGGTGTCATTGAAGCAGATAGGGGTCGGCGTGGTCGAGTCGGTAAAGCTCATGGTTGCTAAACAGTAGTTTCAAGTTTGAACCCTCGGGCAGATGAGGCTCGTTAGCTGGGGACAGCCGTTCTTCTAGGAGAGACAACTCCAAAATTAATCAACTGCTGCCTTGTGGGTGTTCTTGGTTGGACAAAGGCTATGGAAGCAAATCCAAAAAGAAAAGCAGGCTGAAATCGGAGTCAATGGCCTCAATGGCGCATAACCAGTTGACACGTTATCCTTAATTGTGATGGAGGCGTGGTCGAGTCGGCAAAAAGCTCTTAGTTGATAAATTCGAAACAAAAGTCTCGAATTCAAACCCTCTGGCAGATAAGGCTCGATCCTTTCCACACTAAAAATTAAGAACGAAGAAGAAGAAGAAACATAATTTAGTATTTAAAATACAGATCCAGATCACCACTAAACTCATTCTAACACACACAAAAATAAATTATTTAATACCTACACAGCAATGAGTGGTGTATACTATAAGCACAGTCTCCAGTATAGGGCTGGTAAGTAGGTCACCAACCAGTTCTATGGCTCATGCAGGTTTTATTGAGCCGTAGAACTAGTTGGTGGCCTACTTACCAGCCCTATAAATTAAAAGCCTCCATCATATAAAAGAAAATTGGATTCACGAGCGTTCGATTTGAGAATATCATTTTCACTGTGTAGGGGAAATAAACGTGAATTAATGTTATTTGCAGATCAAAGGAGACAAAATGTTTTTCTTACTGTAGGGGAGATAATTCAAAACAAAGTAGACTCGCCGATAGAAAAATACAAAAGGAAGTTGAAAATTATTTAAATATATTGTTCCTTGATGTGTTTAGACAACAAAATTCATGTGTTTCAGAAGTTTTGAAATTAGCATGACGTTTAATTAAAACATACATTTTAATGTTCTATAACCGGATCCTAAACATTGTTCTTTTATTTTATTACTTTCTTCAAAAATTAAACAACTGTTGCATAATCAGTGTTGCTTTGATTCTCGCGATTAGGGCGATTTTATTTGTATTCTATATTATACATTTTATTATTACTGATTTAAATGTTTAAAACAATTAAATTAATAAAAATAAAAATAAAAAAAAATCTACCCCCTCCTCTTTCCCCCTCTATCCACTTTACCCCCAGGCATGATAACCCCACAATCCCTTTAACTGTTCCAACGACCCCACCACCCACCGCAACATCAATATCCAGAACTTATTTAAAGTTCTAAATCTTGTCTCTTTCCCCTCGTCTTTCACACTGCAACCTTTTGAAAACTCAATGCGACCACTACAACACCCTTTCAACTAGTTAACTTAAGTTGTTTCCCTACATAGAAAATGCTTCACTGTCCCATTGACCCTCTCTGAAAAATTTCCTTTCCTCTCCCCACCCAGACTTCTGACACTTTCTTTTGACCTTCACCCCTTTTACTGTCATCCTTTGCAATTTTTTTTATATAATCAAATACATGACATCATGTAAATATTCATTATGTACAATTGCAAAACCTTTCGTATTCATTTGGTGTTCAAAATTATGTTAAAAAATAAATTTGATGTTGATGTACTTGTTTTAATTGCAAATAAAAGTATTAAAAAAATATATATATATATTATACATTTTATAACATAGTAATGGTCGAAATATAAAAAAGTGGTTGGCCAAAGACTGAGAAGGCTTGGTTGCAGATTTACTTGTTTATATACCCTGTCTTAGTAGTTGTAACTGCACTAAGTACAACATAAATGCCTCCATAAACAATACCAACATTATTTCTCAGCCGTCCAGAGTAGACCTACTAAATTTTTTTCTATATTTTTCTATGATTTTTTTATTTTACTTTATTTTTAAAGCAGAATACTGTATTCTACTCTAATTCATTATATTTTATACTATTACACTATATATATAATTCTCTTCTGGGAGCCGTTAGAAAACAAGCTGCAAGCGCGCCTTACAGTCCCCTCTCTTCCTCTCTATCGCTATCACCCCCCCCCCCCCCACCCCCATCCCCTCACATGGTCTGGTGAGCTGTGGTTCACGCTTTTTACATTTTACAATCATAGAGACGGGTTTGGTGACGGCTATTAGGGGCAGATAATTTAGTTTGAAACGATTTTAAACTTAAAGGAGGTAACTAAGAGGAGGCTGCTTTCACGTGGGGGGGGGGGGGGGGGGTTAGTGTTTTTAAGCAAATATTTTCAGTGGCAGCATTGGTACTGTCGAATTCACAAATTATAAATTACTGAAAAGTAGAAAAAAAAAAACTAAATAGCGGCGTATGATACGCCGCGGGTCGGCTCGTTCTATTATATTTTAATCAAATTTTTCACTGGATTGTACTATGCTCCAGTGGCGTAGCGAGGTCGAGTGTAACTCGGTGCGGTACTTAATGGTGTCACCCCCCGACCCTTCCCGGGGACAAACTATCAATTTTCGATTTGCATCCCCCCCCCCCCCTCAAACCTTCGATTTGCACTACCCTCAATCTTTCGATTTGCACCCCCCACCCCCCTCAAACTTTCGACTTGCACCTCTTAAAACACTATTTAACACTCGAATTAATCACTTAATTAAGTGGAATTATCATTTTTTCTGTATATTTTTTGCTATTTTTTGCCATGGTGTCACCCCCCCCCCCCCTAAATGGTGTCACCCGGTGCGGTCCGCACCCCCCCCCCCCCCCTCCCCTCGCTACACTCCTTATATGCTCTACCATATTCTACTACTTACTACTACTACTTACTATTCAATTCTACTAATCTATTACATTCTACTTTACCTCTTCCACTCTATTTCACTTTCTTTACTCCGTTTTAATACATGTATTGTGTGATGTAGTTTATGGTGTTTTGGGGGGAAATGGTGTATAGGGTGTTATATAAGTTTTAGGATGTGGCTGTGGATGTAGTGGGTCAGATGTGTGTGTTGTGTTGTGTGAGACATTGAAATGTGGGGGTGTGGGGGGGTGTGGGTTGTGTTGTGTGATACATTGAAATGTGGGTTTTGGGAGTGTGTGTGTTGTGTTGTGTGAGACATTGAAATGTTGGTTGTGGGGGTGTGGGGGTTGTGGAGGTGTGAGGGTTGTGCTGTATGAGACATTAAAATGTGGGTAGTGGGTGTGTGTGTGTGTTGTGTTGTGTGAGACACAGAAATGTGGGTTTTGGGGTGTGGGGGTTGTGTTGTGTGAGACATAGAAATGTTGGTTGTGGAGTGTGGGGGTGTGTGGGTTGTTTATTGTGAGCCATTGAAATGTTGGTTGTTGGGGTGTGTGGGTTGTGTTGTGTGAGACATTGTAATGTTGGTTGTGGGGTGTGGGGGGTTGTGGAGGTGTGTGGGTTGTGTTGTGTGAGACATCGAAATGTTGGTTGTGGTGTGTGGGGTTGTAGGGGTGTGTGGGTTGTGTTGTACGAGACATTGAAATGTTGGTTATGTGAGTGTGTGAGTAGTGGGGGTGTGGGTGTTGTGGGGGTGTGGGGGTTGTGCTGTGTGAGACATTGAAATGTTGGTTGTGGGGTGTGGGGGTTGTGGGGGTGTGTGGGTTATGTTGTGCGAGACATCAAAATTGTTATGTGAGTGTGTGAGTAGTTGGGGTGTGGGTGTTGTGGGGGTGTGGGGGTTGTGCTGTGTGAGACATTGAAATGTGAGTTTGGGGGGTGTGTGGGTTGTGTTGTGTGAGACATTGAAATGTGGGTTGAGGGGGTGTGTGGGTTGTGGGGGTGTGTGGGTTGTGGGGGTGTGTGGGTTAGGGGGTGTGGGGGTTGTGGTGTGTGAGACATTGAAATGTGGGTTGTGAGGGATGTGCTGTGTGAGGCATTGAAATGTGGGTTGTGGGGGTGTGAGGGTTGTGGGGGTGTGTGGGTTGTGGGGG